AGCTGGTCCTGTTGGCTCAGCTATATCTGGATTCTGTTCATGAGCTGGAGCAACTGGTGGTGCTACAGGTGCTGCTCAAACTGCTGTATGAGCTATACCTCGACCTCTACCTCGGCCCCAGCTTCTACCACTACCCCGACCTCTCGCGGCCCTAACTGGTGGCACTGGTGGCTGACCGTCCGATTCAGTAGTACGTGTTCTCACCATCTGTGAGAGAATAGAATAAAAGAATTTTAGTTTTCCGGAATCAACAAGTTCGCACGATAGAATACAAGAAGGTGAAATTTTTCTAAGGGTTCGGCAACCTCTCGCAGATAAGTACAGACGTCTATGTACCTCCGCAAGACTCTACAAACCTGCTTATGACTCGTGAGACCTATGTAACCTAGGCTCTGATACCAACTTGCCACAACCCAAAACCTAACCCGTCATGATGGCGCCTATCGTGACACTAGGTAAGCCGACATTTCCAAAACACTTTCAATATTTACCAGAAATGAATTAAGTCATTTAAAATAACCGGAATTTGTCATAAAAACGGGGTAAAACCCAAAGCATAAGTGCGGAAAAATAGCCCGACATCGGGGTGTTACTAAGTCATTAACATCTAAACAACTAATCTAGAAACAGAGTCTACAACAGTCTGTGCCAAAATGCCAATACAGAGAAAGAAAAGATAACAAGAAAGGAGACAAGGACTGCGAACGCCGACAGCTACCTCGTAAGACTCCGATACTCAACCACGCACGAGATCAACGTCCACCGTGTCCGAAAGCACCTGGATCTGCACACGAGGGACAAGGAGTAACGTGAGTACATCCAACTCAGTAGGTAACAATAATAAATAAGGAACTGAAGATATTGACGAGCTACACAGTTATAGTTTATTTTCAGTAATTCCATCAAAGAATAGACATGCTTTCAAATCCGGCAGTTTAAGTCAAATCAGTTTTATACAGTTTAAGTTCAGGTAATCCGGATATAAAATCTTTTAGAAATTTCACAACAATGACAGATAGCAACTAAGTGCAATAACAAATGAAAAGCAAGTACAGCCTCTCAGGGGAACAGTCACTCACCTTATCACAACAGCTCAATCACTCGTCTCTCAGCCCTAAGTACTTACACCCAATAGGTACATGCGCTCACTGGGGGGTGTACAGACTCCGGAGGGGCTCCTACAGCCTAAGCGCTATAACCCGCATGGACAACTCACGTGATGCATGGTCAACTCACGTGTTATAGTGTCAATATGTAAATCCGCATAGACAACTCATGTGCTACACGGACAACTCACATGCTATAATATCATATCAAGATCCGCACAGACAACTCACGCTATGGTATCAATACCTCACAAATAGGCCCTCGACCTCACTCAGTTATCAACCTCTCTAGTCTCATGACCCTCAGTAATAAAGGGAAATCAGCCCAAAACATAATGATATAATGTATTAGCAGGGAATAACAAAGATTGAGGTATAATATGCAAATAATACTACGACTGAGTACAAGTAACAATAAGCAGGAAGGTTCAACAGGTATTACGACCACTGGGGTTTTTACAACACCAACACATAGCCTAAGCATAATTCATTGTCAAATTTCTATAGCACAGAAATGGCACATAGCTAACAATAAGCTTATTCAACTTTCCAGTTTCATCGAATAGACCAATTCCCAATTCCCACGGTGTACGCCTACACGCCCGTCACCTAGCATGTGTGTCACCCCCAAAATACTCACATGATACAATGATCCGGGGTTTCATACCCTCAGGACCATATTTAAAACTGTTACTTACCTCAAACCGTATAATTCTTTGTTCTGTTATGCCCTTGCCACGAGAATTGGTCTCCGAAAGCCTTGTATCTAGCCACAATTAATTCAATCCAGTCAATACCAATTATTGTAATTAATTTCATAAGGAAATGCAAAAATTTTCAATAAAAATCCGAAATTAACTCAAATATTGCCCATGGGGCCCACGTCCTGGAACACGACAAAAGTTACAAAATGAACGCCCATCCAACTACGAGTCCAATCATACAAATTTTACCAAATTTCGACATCAACTCGACCCTCAAATCTTTAATTAAAGTCTTTGAAGATTTCTACCATTTTCAACCCAATCTTTACCCATTTGAACTCAACAATCTTTCCATAAACCTTATTGATACGTATAAATAATACTCTTACACCCAAGAATCATATTCTTAATCACCCAATCTTTACCCAAACTCGAAATTGAAGACTAGGGGATAGAACCTTACCTCTTGGGTGAAGATCTTGTGATATTTCCTTGTTGGATTTCAAAGCTTTAACAAGATCTTGATGAACAAAGCACTTGAGCTTCTTCCTCTCTCTAGAACACTCTCCCTTTTCTCTAAAAATGTCAGATTTATGTTCTAAAATGAGCTTCAAGGGCTATAAATCGAAGTTGGGTTGGGTCAAAAATTAGAAAGAATTTAAGCCCCAATGCAGATTTGCAATCGCATAACACGTATGCGGTCCGCAAACTGACCGCATAATTGAAGCTAAAAAACGGGGGGTCGCTTGTTTAGGTCTGCGGTAATTATGTGGCCCGTATACATGTTCTGCAGTCGCATAATGCACAACAGATTTTCCTGAAATCTTGCCTCAAATCTGTTTCACTCTGCGGCCATTGTGCGGTCCGCAAAGTGATTCTGCGACCGCATAGTAGGCCACAAAAATGTCCTCTTCTGCCGAAAATTTTCCTTTACTTCTCAGTGCATTGTTCAACCCAAAAAGTCCGAGCCGCGAGAAATTTTTACAACCTTTGTACTAATTAATCTACCTCGGCACCACAAAACATTTTCAACTTAAGTTTTAAAGCTTGGAACTAAGTGTTTCAAATTATTCCAAAACCTCACCGACCCCGAACAAATTACCCCATCAAGTCAAATAACAATTCGTAAATCATAATTTGAGCAGTAAATAGGGAAACAGGGTTTTAATACTCAAAACGACCGACCGGGTTGTCACAGTGCTCCTCCTACTCACATGACCAAACCACCTAAGCCGTGCTTCCCGCATCTTGTCCTCAATAGGGGCTACACCCACCTTGTCGCGAATAACCTTATTTCTGATCCTATCTAACATGATGTGCCTACACATCCATCTTAACATCCTCATCTCTTCTACTTTCATCTTCTGGACATGAGCGACCTTGACTGTCCAACACTCAGCCCCATAAAACATCATTGGTCTGACCACCATTATGTAGAACTTACCCTTAAATTTTGGTGGCACCTTCTTGTCACACAAAACACCGGAAGCGAGTCTCCATTTCACCCATCCCGCCCCAATACGATATGTGACATCTTTATCAATCTCTCCATCTCTCTGAATAATAGACCTAAGGTACTTAAAACTCCCTCTCCTAGGGATGACCTGTGAGTCCAGCCTCACCTCCTCTTTCCCCCTTGAGTCTCGCCACTAAACTTAGTCCTACTCAACTTGATACCTTTAGATTCTAGGGTCTGCCTCCATACCTCTAATTATGCGTTCACACCGTCTCGTATCTTGTCAACCAATACAAAATCATCTACAAATAGCATGCACCACGGCACCTCCCCGTGGATGTGGCGCGTCGGTAAGTCCATCACTAGAGCAAACAAAAAAAGGTTGAGTGCCAACCCCTGATGCAACCCCATTATAATCGGAAAATGGTCTGAGTCCCTACCCACCGTCCTCACTCGGGTCTTTACTCCAACATACATGTCCTTAATCAATATAACGTAGGCAACAAGTACACCTCTGGCCTCCAATCATCTCCACAAAACCTCCCTCCGAACTTTATCGTATGCCTTTTCTAAGTCGTTGAACACCATATGAAAGTCCTTATTTCTCTCCTTATACTGCTCCATCAATCTCCTAACAAGGTGGATGATTTCTGTAGTTGAACGCCCCGGCATAAACCCAAACTAGTTCTCAGAAATAGACACCCTACTCTTCACCCTTAACTCTACCACTCTCTCCAAGACTTTCATAGTATGGCTAAACAACTTGATACCCCAATAGTTATTGCAATTTTGGATAATACTCTTGTTCTTGTATATAGGAACCATCGTGCTTCACCTCCACTCTTCGGAAATCATTTTCGTTCTAAAAATGACATTAAATAACCTAGTGAGCCAATCCAATCCTGCCTTGCCCGTACTCTTCCAAAACTTCACAGGGATTTCATCTGGCCCGGTCGCTTTTCCCCTGCTCATCTTACACATATCCCCCTCAACTTCATCAACTCTAATCCACCTACAATACCAAAAGTCACAACGACTCCCGGAAAGTTCCAAATCACCCAGTACAATGCTCATGTCCCTCTCCTCGTTCAAGAGACTATGGAAGTAGGTCTGCCATCTCCGACGCATAAGCCCCTCATCTAACAAAACTCTACCTTCTTCGTCCTTGATACACTTCACTTGGTTCAAGTCACACGCCTTCCTTTCTCGCTCCTTGGCTAACTTGAACAACCTCTTATCCCCACCTCGGACCTCGAGTTCCTCATGCAAATGACTAAAAGCTGCAGTCTTGGCCGTCGTAACTGCTAGTTTTGCCTCTTTCTTAGCCAACTTATAATGCTCCCTATTCACCTTCTTCTCCTCCTCGTCTACACTTTCCACTAGTTTCAGATACGCTGCTTTCTTGGTTTTCACTTTTCCTTGTACCTCTCCATTCCACCACCAGTCTCCCTTTCTCTCGTGACTTCCCTAATGCACTGCACAGTCGTGGTCCACGTAGCGCTTGCATTCCCACTACTCCTCTAAGCCCCCATAGTCACCAGTTTGACCCATAACTCCTGCGCTTTAGCTTTTGTCAAGGCTCCCCACTTGATCCTATGTTAGCTATACATCGCTCTTTTCCTCGTGATCTCAAGGTCCATGACCAGGAGCCTATGAAGGATCGAGAGGTTCTCACTCGGGATGACCTTAAAATCCGTGCAAAGACCTTTATCGGACTTACTGCAGAGTAAATAATCAATCTGAGTCTCGATCACCAAACCGGAAGGTGACCGGGTGCTCCCTCTTCTTCGGAAAACTCGAGTTTGCTATCACCAAATCAAATGCTCTAGAAAAGTCCAAAAGAGACATTCCTTCTCCTTTTCTATCTCCAAAACCAAAGCTACCATGCACATCATCATACCCCCCAGATGTCGCTCCAATGTGACCGTTGAAATCTCCTCCTATGGAAAGCTTCTCGATATGTCGGATATCACACACCATCTCATCCAAATCCTTCCAGAAACACCTTTTGACTTCCTCATCCAAGCCTGCTCGGTGTGCGTACACACTGATTATGTTCAGAGTAAAACCTCCAACAACTAGCTTAATAGTCATAAGCCCGTCATTCACCTTCCTAACCTCCATCATTAGTCCCCGGAGGTCCTTATCAACCAAGATACCTACCCCGTTCCAGCCCCCACTCTCCCAAAATATCAAAGTTTGAAACTGCCCACGTCCCGCGCCTTATCGCCTACCCACCCAGTGTACACAAGCTATATTAATCTTCCTTTTCTCGAGAATCTTCGCTAACTCTACAGATGTTTCAGTCAAAGTTCCTATGTTCCAAGACCCTACTCTCAGCCTAGTAGCTCCCTTAGCCCTCTTACCGCCTTACTCCC